TGTTTTCAGACCCATAACCGCTGAAGGTTTCATCCTGTGAATCTCTGGGGGTGAACCGCTGCATTGAGCTAATTGGTCATAAAGGAGACGAGCAACAGCGTGGGATAGCTCATAGCTCACCTGGTTGAGCTGGCGACCCACGTTCAGAGCTGCAGTCCTCGATGCAGCGGCCGTGGGTTCGAGTCCTGGTCATGATCCATTCCTGCAAGTCCTTCCCCTACTCCAGTGGTTCTCAAACTGGAGGTCAGGATCCCCGTGGGGGTTCCAAGATAATTTCAGGGGGTCATCAGATCATTGTAAAAAGAAAAAATACAAAAATAAAAATAAAGCCAATTAAATGTGTATCAGGGCTGTCAAAATTAAAAGTGTACACTACTTCCCACTCCTTTATCGAACTTGTTAATATCATGATTTGATTATGTGGTGTTATTATTCTTTTTTGCTCTTTTTAAAATTATTTTCTTTGTTTTTTAAATATTTTTTCCATTTCATTTTTTTGAAATAAATTCAGTTAATTCATTCATTCAAAAGAAAATGAACGTGTTAATGTAAAGAGATGAATCTGTGGAATTAACATGTTAATTTTAACACATTAATGCCTGAACAACAAGTTATTACTCATGAGGTATTAAGAATTCAAACTGGGGAACACAAACTTCTGTTATCTTGGTGGTTGTGGCTCAAAAAGTTTGAGAACCACTGATCTAAGGCAATAGAAATGGTAAATGGCTTTAGCTTAACTAGCTAACTGTCCTGAACTCCTGTTTGCTTCATAAAATGACTGCTGCATAAAAATATATTTTATATTATTTTACAATCATGTTTAAAGTCAAGTTTTATTTCATGAAATCTCTGTCCTCAACTCAACTTTATTTATAAAACACTTTAACACGACAAAAGTCGAAACAAAGTGCTGAACACAAAATATAAAACAATTTAAAATGTCTAAAATGCAAAATACACTAAAATTATAATAAAATCATTAAAGGACAATAAGAACAGTAAAAACAATAAAACAGGAGTCTCATGCCGGGTAGAAGGCCAGGGCATAAAAATGCGGTCTGATTTAATTTAGACAGATATCATTTTGAATTTTGTCTGCATGACTGATCAGCGGCTTTAGGAAATGTCTGG